ACACTGAGGAAATCCAAAGAATCATTAGGTCATAAATCAGTACTTCACAAATCAGTACTCCACTAATTTGAAAAATCTATAGGAAATGGATAGTTTTCTAGATAGGTACCACATACCAAATTTATATCAAAACAGATAAGCCATATAAATATGCCTATAACTCCCAGGGAAATAGAAATCATCATTAAAAGTATCCCAACAAACAAAAGCCCAGGGGCAGACAGTTTTAGTGCCAAATTGTATCAGACCTTCAAGAAGAGCTTATACCAATACTCCTCAAATTATTCCACAAAATAGAAACAGAAGGGACATTGTCAAATCATTTGATGAGGGCACAGTCACCCTGATACCTGCAACACACCAAGACTCAAAAAGAAAGAGATTTACAGACCAACTTCTCTCTTTAACTTTGATGCAAAAATACCCAATAAATTACTTGCAAACCAAATCCAAGAACGTATCACAAAGATCATCCATCAGGATCAAGTAGGCTTCTTCTCAGAGATGCAGGGCTGATTCAACATAGAAAAATCTGTCAATTCATCCACCACATAAACAAACTGAAAAAAAAAACACATGGTCATCTGAATAGATGCTGAAAAAGCCTTTCACAAAATCCAACACCACTTTCTGATAAAAAAGTATATATGAGATCAGGAATACAAGGGACACACCTAAAGATAATCAAGGCAGCCAACATCAAATTAAACTGAAATTCAAAAGATTCCACAAAAATCAGGGACAAGACAAGGTTGTCCACTCTCCCCATATTTACTCAACATAGTACTTGAAGTTCTAGCTAGAGCACTAAGACAACTAAAGGAGACCAAGAGGACACAAATTGGAAAAGAAGAAGTGAAGCTTTCACTATTTGCCGATGATATGATAGTATACATAAGCGACCCCCCCAAAAAAAAAATTCTACCATGGAACTCCTACACCTGATAAACACATTCAGCAGAGTGGCTGGATTCAAAATTAACTAAAAAACTGGTACCCCTTCTTCATACAAAATGATATAGGGGTTGAGGAAGAAATAAAGGAAACAATCCCCTTTACCATAGTGTGATGATAATCGAGTAATCTCTGAGAGTGTAAGCCAGTCAAATTAAATGTTTCTAATTATTAAACTTGGTTTGGTCAAAGTGTCTCTTCATAGTAATTGAAACTCTAAATAAGACACCACAAATTTTATATTCCCTCCCTCTTTCTCTTATTTCCTCCCTCTGTCTTTAGGACAGAAAATGTCCTAAAGACACACACACACACACACACACACACACACACACACACACACACACACTCCATAAAAGCAGAAATGAAATTAAGAAAAGAAAAAAAGGAAAAATTTCCACTAAAGCAAAATGAGAAGAAAAAAAGTGTACAAAAATACAATTGAGTTCATTTTTTTATTGGCTTTCTAATGATTTGCATGGGGATGCCCTCAAATGTGGTTAATACATCCAATAGGACCCCTTTGGGGGAAATTGATTTTATTCTTTAACAACTGAATTATATCCCAATGTCTAAATGTACCAAATGTGCATTATCTATTATTCATTGCTTGATATTTAAGCTCTTTCCAGGCTCTGACTATTCAAAGTAGAGCAGCAATGAACATGGTTGAGTAAGGGTCTCTGTAGTAGGGTGCAGGTCCTTTTGATAGAACCAAAGTGTGGTTTATCTGGATT